AAGCTTGAAGATCCAACCTTTTCCAAATAATTAGATGTCTGAAAAAACCATGAATGGCTGAGTTACTCAATAATATGAATGTTTGGATGGTACTCTATTGTGCCCAACAATTTTTGGGGTTGAAAAAAAAACAAAAACCCTTTCTCCACCTTTCTTTGAGTAAAGCTGGTCCATTTACTTTAGAAAGCAATATTTGTGTTAAAGCTTTTAAAATGCAAGGTTTTCCAAATAATTAGATGCCTTATTAAACCCTTATTAGATTTAATATAATTAAGGCAGGAGAGGCGCCGATTTTAACTTGAAGAAGGAGGGCAGGGGAAAGGAAGGCCTAAGAGAAAAAAAATAGGGATAGGAGGATCCAAAGAGGCCAGGAGGGAGGTGGGATGGAAAAGGAATGAGAAAGAGGAAAAAATAGGGGTCAGAATATAAAGTAGATAAAATTTATTAAAACATGTCGAATGATAAATTTTATTATATATTAATATAATTAAAATTTAAATATTTTTAAAAAACAGCACCAGACAATTTCAAGGTGGTACCATGAGTGGCGAGTTACTCAATAATATGAATGTTGGATGGTTACTCTATTGTGCCCAACACTTTTTGGGGTTGAAAAAAAACAAAAACCCTGTCTCCACCATTCTTTGAGTTAAAGCTGGGTCCATTTACTTTAGAAAGCCAATATTTGTGTGATAAAAGATTTAAATGCAAGGTTTTCCAACTCCAAATAATTAGATGCCTTATTAAACCCTTATTAAAAAACAGCATCCAAACAATTTTTCAAGGTGGTACCCCATGAGTGGCTGAGTTACTCAATAATATGAATGTTTGGATGGTACTCTATTGTGCCCAACAACTTTTGGGGTTGAAAAAAATCAAAAACCCTTTCTCCACCTTTCTTTGAGTAAAGCTGGTCCATTTACTTTAGAAAGCAATATTTGTGATAAAGCTTCAAAATGCAAGGTTTTCCAAATAATTAGATGCCTTTTTAAACCCTTATTTAAAAACAGCATCCAGACAATTTTTCAAGGTGGTACCCCATGAGTGGCTGAGTTACTCAATAATATGAATGTTTGGATGGTACTCTTTTGTGCCCAACAACTTTTGGGGTTGAAAAAAATCCAAAACCATTTCTCCACCTTTCTTTGAGTAAAGCTGGTCCATTTACATTAGAAAGCAATATTTGTGATAAAGTTTTAAAATGCAAGGTTTTCCAAATAATTAGATGCCTTATTAAACCCTTATTAAAAAACAGCATCCAGACAATTTTTCAAGGTGGTACCCCATGAGTGGCTCAGTTACTCAATAATATGAATGTTTGGATGGTACTCTATTGTGCCAAGCAACTTTTGGGGTTGAAAAAAAATCAAAAACCTTCCCCACCTTTCTTTGAGTAAAGCTGGTCCATTTACTTTAGAAAGCCATATTTGTGTTAAAGCTTGAAGATCCAACCTTTTCCAAATAATTAGATG